ACACAGGCAAGTTACGTTGCCTCTGTGAACTCCAGTTGCCTCATTTGTTAAATAGTTGTAACTGCAAACTATATCTTCTCAGGTTTTGTGTAAAATTAAATAAGATAACACGGGCAAAGCAGTTAGCAGGTGCCTGGCTATAAGCGCTCAGCAAGATCCAGGCAGCTGTTTTTTAGAAATGGTTCAGCTGTACTGCTGAAATACTCAGAGCAACAGTTGGCAATTATTTTCACATTCATCTATTTTTTGCTTCTTCATCCAATGATTTATTTAGCCAGTTAATGTATTTGGTATATATTTACTAGGTGTCTACTATCAGTCAGTTTTTGCTCTGGTCCACCTGTCTGAAGATCCAGCTCTCAGGGGGAGTTGTGACTCCCCACACAAAAACTGATGGAGTCAGGCTCAGCACAGAGAGTTGGTGGGAGATCCTGTTCTACTGGCAATTGTGGGCTTGGAAATTTTCTGCAGCTCTGACTCTGAACAGAGTAGACCATTCTAGTGTTTGGGCAGCACTGAGACAGGGCAGCTTTTCACAGACACCAGCAGTGTTGTCCTCCTTCTAAAGGACCAGCCAGCAAGCTGGAATCTGCTTTCTCCGTGCTGGGGCCCTGTTTCCTAGGACTGATCTCTGTTGTGGTCCAGTGTGCTTTGCTGCACAAGAATTCCTGGAACAACCCTACTGTGCTCCTGGCATCTCCCCTGTCTATTCTTATAGTGCTCTCCCTTCCTGCCCCCAAGGTGTTTCTGAGGGCCTACCACCCTTGACCACCCCCCCTTCTTGCAGTTGGGCTCTGTGGCAGAGACACTGCTGGGCAGGTAGACACTGCTCGGTGATTGAGAGACAGAGGTGGCTAGCACATGCACAGTCTGTGAACAGACATCATGTGTGGTAAGGGGCATGACACATAGTGCTATGGGTGTAGCTAGGGTGGAGCAGCTGCTGTACCTCAAGAAGTCAGGGAAGGCTTTACCATGAAGTAGATGTTTTGAGCAGTCTTAAAGGATTTTCCTGGGTAGACAATGGGAGAAAGGGAATTACAGTCAAGGAGAACAGGGTGCATAAAAGTCTGAAATATCATGATATTCTTAGAGAAAATATAAAGGAAAATGAATGGAACAAAGGGAATATATTATTTGGGGTTGAGAGTTCATGAGTAGCTCAGGGAGGAAAAGAGTCCAAAGAGGTAACAGAAGTAAAATTATTATGGCCTTGTGAGCCATGCCGTGCAGTTTAGACTTTGTCCTACCAGTGCTGGGAAATTGAAGGGCTGTATATAGGAGCGGGATGTGACTGGATTTGTGTGCAAGGAAGGTGTGATGTATAGCTGAAAGGGGGTAGACTGTCTCATTTATCCTGTAGCAATTCTATAAGGTAGAAAAGACAAACACTGTTGTATACTTTTTACATCTGAAAACACTGGGGCCCTAGATTAAATCCTTTGCCATTGCTTTTAGAACCAGAAAACAGAGGACTCAGGATTCACCTGGATTCTTGGCTCTGAATCTCTTTCTCCTGGGCACATTGCATTGTGAACAGAGTCTTCTAGAAAGCTCCCTACAGCCAGGCAGTGTTTAGATATTGACAGAAGCAACCTGAAGGAAGTAGGCATTGATAGCATCTTGTTGAAGGAGTATAACACTGGAATTTTGTGGCCTGTGGTGTTGTCTCCTGAGCTCTGTGCCATGCACAGAGAGCAGAAAGCAGCGGGGATCTTTGGGCTTTGAGTTCTGCATTGACTTGACAAAATCAATTCATCACTGTCTCAGTCATTAACTCAGAGCAGCATTTGCTACCTGATGCTGGCGCTTGTTGTGGCTTGGTTCTGGAAGCCCTTGGTCTTCCAGGCTGATCAACTCTGCATTCCACAACCCCAGGTGAACTCTAGCAGACAGAAGCAGGTTCTTTCTCTCTCTGCATTTTATAAAGTGAAGTCATTACTTAGGAAAAAAAAATACCCCAAAGGTGGTATGATGTAGCAGTAAATACTAACTTGGAGATCAGGCAAAGCTGGGTTTTGGTTCTGTTGCTACCCCCCCAGCTAGCTATGGAGGTGATTTAGTATGTATGGCTCCTTATCTCTAAAACTAGGAAAGCCAAACCTACCTGAAAAGAGTATTGTATTGATTAATTAATGTTTACAAAGTGCCTTGCTGTGATACCTAACACACATAAGTCCTCAATTTGTTCTGATCACTCACACCACCACTGCTACCGATATCACTGCAGTTAGAGTATTTGGAAAACAGAGAACCTAAGAAGAAAACCTTACAATATTAATAGCATGATACAACTCGTACTTGGATAATTTAGTTCTATTTCTCTCAGATTCCCCCCCACCTTTTTTCTGAGTATACCAGATTTTATAGCCAGGTGGGAGTTTTTTTTTTTTCCCCTGAGGTAGGAGCTACATTGTATTTCTTTTTTCTTATTTTTAATAGATTTTTCCCTGATTATAGGAATAGTAGGTAAAATTCAGAGAGTACATAAAAAGAAAGATCATGCTCAAAATCCTTATCCCTAGAGCAGCAAGCACTGTTAACACTTCTATGTATCTCCTCCTAGTCATTTTTATTCTTGTTTTATTATAGAATCAGGGTCATATTATATATACAGTGTTATGTGATTTTTCAGTTTTCCCAGTACCATGAATATTTTCCTATTATTATGAGCATCAGTTTTTAAAACTGCTTAATAATTCATCAGATGGCTCTATCATTTTATATATATATATTTCCACATTGTTAGATGTCTAAGTTTTTTCCTATTCATCAGTCTAAGCCTCTTCCTACAACAGACCCAAGAAACCAGTCAGAAGCTTATAATGAACTTGTGTTGTATGTCCATGGGCCTGGGTGAGGCATACTGCAGCCTTAAGGTAAATCACCAACATAGCCAGCTTCAAAGGAGTTCAGAAACTGGACAATCTGGACTGTTTACTAAGGGTAAATTTTACAGCGGTTTCTTTGCTAAACACTCTAGTGAGCCCCTATAAATGTGCACAGTCCTCTCTGTGGAAGCTGGGTTCACTGAAGCACAGCTTCTCCACAAGAAAGAGCTTGCTGCCCCTTCTCACCCACCAGTGTGGAGACAGCCTCCTGCACTCTGAGTTACTTCACTGTCTGTGCCTCTGCTTGAATTTGTTTCCTGGTGCTTTTCCCTGGAAAACAATGTCTAGCATCAAGAAGGGAACTCTTGTGAAAGGAGATTCAGTGTGGCTGTAGTCATAGTTTTTTTAAAAAAAATTTTAATTGGTGGGTTACACACACACAAACACACGCACACACACACACACACACACACACGCTTTAGGTATCATGTATATGGTATTTTGAAATATATATGCATTGTGGAAAGGCTAAACCAAGCTAATATACACATCACCCACCCCACATACTTTCTATATTTATGGTGGAAAAGCTTAAAATATATTAGATTTTTAAAGAATACAACATATTATTAACTAGAGGCACTTGTGACAATATGGATGAACCTGGAGGACATTATGTTAAGTGAAATAAACCAGGAACAGAAAGACAAACACCATGTGACCTCACTCTTATTTGGAATCATTCATATTAATAAAAAGAGCTGATCTCATCATAAAGAATAGAACGGTGGATTTGTCTTAGTTTTGTCAGACTTGCTCTGAGACCTGAGATAAGTTACTTCCCTTCCCAAGCCTGTGTTTCTCCTGGTAATATAGGTGATCTCCACCGCCCTACCTGCATTAACATTCTAGAGTACCTGAGACCATCCTCTTGCCAGGAGCTAATGTGAGCGTCCTGGAGAAGGTCACGGGATGTTTCTTCAGAGTCTAGAGTTCCTCTTAATTAGTGCTTAGGGAACCACTTATGCTTTTAGATTCCCAATCACTTCCTCCCACTATCACGTTGGAACACCAAGACTGAAAGGCAAGAAATATTTTCTACTACTTGGGAACCCTGGATTCAGAAACCTAAATTACTGTCTTTTACATAGTAAGTGTTTGTTCCTTTGTGTACTTTTATTTTTTCTCTCACTTGGCAGATGCTAACCGAGTTTCCGGCTTTGCATAGTGTGTTTGTGTGATACCGCGGTGGAGACTTGGCCCCCTGGTCCCAGGACACATGCAGACTAGTGAGGAGACAGGAAAAATGCTAAAAGGCAGCAGGCATTTGCTACGGTACTATGCCTAACAGAAAGGCAAATGTTAGGAGTGCCCGAGTTTGCCTAGAAGCAACAGCAAACGGGTCTCAGTAGATGCTTCGAGGTTTTAAAGAACGAGTAGGGGTTTTTTAGGTAGGCAGTAGGACGAGGCATTCTGGGTGGCAGAACAAGCATGTGTAAAAGGCCTGTGGGTGTGAGAGAACAGGGCATGCGCAAAGCACTTCAGGGTTTATGTGGCTGCGCGGGAAGGAGAGAATGAGCAGATGAGAAAGTTGAGCGTCTTTTCAGCCCAGTCTGTTTCCACTGAATCCTTTGCTCATTTTATCAGTCCAGATGAGAGTGATGGTCTTTTTAGTTCAGTTTCCAAAATCTGTTATCTTTATTGCCTTATCTTTACATTTTAAAAATTTATTTATTAATTTTAAATTTTTTATTTTTTGGTACCGGGGATTGAACTCGGATCTTTGTGCTTGCAAGGCAGGCGGTGGAACCACTGAGCTAAATCCCCGGCCCTGTGTCTTTCCATTTTTAAAGTAACATATGCTCATTATAGAAAGTTTGAAAAATACAAAAAAGTAGAAAAAATTACTATGGTCGGATTAAAGGCAACTTCTTTCACATCGTGTGTGGTGCAGTTCTCTTTAATGTTTTTTTGACTCTCTCTTTGTGTTATCTGTGAATATGTTGTAATTATAGTCTTAACGTTCGTATATGGTACTTCTTTCTATTTCTTTCCTAAAATTTGCCACAAATGGATATTAGTGTCATTAGAAAATAACAGTGATCATAAAATATACCAGCTGAAATATTGCTATACGTTTTGTCTAGTATATTTTCTTTCTTTTTATAGATCTCTTGTGGCTCAGAGCATAATTTGGCAGTAATTGGTAAGTAATTTTTATACTGATACTATGTTTATTTTGAAACTCATATGATGGAATTGGAGACGACTTGATTAACTAAAAGCCAGGGTACATGTGTGTGTATAGGTATTGGGGAAATTTAGGAAAATGGAAGCCTGTTATTACCAAGAGTTTACTAAAAGTGCCTTTCCTGAAAATTTCATTCCCTGTCATTGAACACCTTTATAAGGTGCCCATGCTGGTCTTCTTGCCTCAGGAAGTGACACTTGGGGATCATAAAGAACTACAGGCTTGGGGCATCATGGATAGACAGCCAGGCATAAAGAGGAGGACGAGAGTGGGGCTCAGTATTAGAGCTCCTGGGTTCAGTCCCAGTACTGTTAAAAAGAAAAGTGGATTGGACAGCTTTGGTTCTTTAAATAAATCCTTTCTGCCAAGTTCTTTCTTCTTGATGTGGCTCTTTTTTTGGAAATACACAGCTCTGCTCACTTCCCTCACCATCTTGTACTAAGTAGCATTAAGGAACTCCCAGTTGGACTCACACCTCTGATTGAGATTTTCTCGTAGTTGGCGCTGCATACCCCAAGTTCGGTGTTTTTATGATTAGACCTATGAGCAATTCATTTAGGAAGCCTTTTCACTACTTTCATAGGTCAAGTCAGTTTCCAGCTCATAACATGTTAAACTACAGTATAGTGGTCAGGGATTTAGCTCAGCGGTGCTGTTGCCTGCCTCACAAGCGCAAAGTCCAGAGTTTGATCCCTGGTACAAAAGCAAAACAAAACAAACTACAGTGTAGTCCAGAGTGCCTGAGTTCAGTAGTCTTCTACTTACTACAAGTATGAACATGACAAGGTATCAACCCCTTCATATCTCATTTTCCTCATCTTTAAAGTGGAATGGCCATATGTCTACTTCATAACGTTATGTGAATTAATGTACACAAAACTCATAGAATGGCTCCAAGCTCTCAGCACGGCCTTCAGCATTGTTAGTTATTATTATCAGACATGATTAGTTCAAGGCATTGCTGTGTTTTGAGCTTTAAATCCCCCATCTCTAAAATGGAGGACTCACAATAGAAAACCAGTTTTTCCTCCAGCTCTGGTATTTTAGTTCACATCGCAGTCTCACTCTGCCTGTCTTATGTCAGTGATTTCTGTTCCTTTTTCTCCTAGCCTCTGACTCTAAACCTTGAATGGCAAGGCCCCTATGCATTCTTCTTGGTGTGTGTGTGTGTGTGTGTGTGTGTGTGTGTGTGTGTGTGTGTGTGTGTGTGTGTGTTCACAGCACCCAGCATAGTGCCTGGCCCTTAGCAAAGACTCAACCACTCTTGAATTGAATTGGACAGGCTCAGCTGCCTGGAATGGCAGTAGTTTGAAGCACTGCTTTGCAGCCCAAATGTGATGTGCAAAAAGGCAGAACCAAAGACAGCAGAGGAAGGAGGCTGTCAGCAGCCAGGGGAGCCAAAGGGGCTGGCATCAGAGAAAAAGCTAGGAAATGTAGCAGCCAACCTGCATGCTTTGCAGCAGTAACAGATCATTTGTACTGGCGCTGCTCCAGCCTGGATGTAATTAAAGCTAATCCAAGAGTCAAAGGTGGTACCTAGGATGTGGTGCTGCTTCTACCACTGTCACCACCACTACTGCTGTCACTAGGCTTGGAGAGGGCAGTTTCTTCTGGGACCAGCACAAGCAGGAAGACTGAAGGGAATCTAAATACACAAAAGCAAAGTCGAGATGAAGGAGTGGCCAGGGCCAGAGCTGAATGAGCAGCAGGCTGACCAGACACAGGCATCCTGGAGCTGTAGAAAGAGTAAAGATGGCAGGCAGACAGCCTTGGCCTACACTGGCTCCATCTCTGTGTGAGTCTCCATTTTTCCCCCTCATCTATGTAACTGGTTGAGAATTCCTCCTTGTAGGATTGTGGGGAAAGACGAGGTGACATAGTATGTGAAATGCCTGGTCTTTTGCCTTTGCTCTCATTTCCTTTGGTAGGGGTAGGGAGAGGGGATACTCACCTGTCAGCGTTACCAGTCCTGGCAAAGTATTTCTTGACAAAGAGGGAGAAATGATGTCATTCTGGAAAGTTATGCCCAAGGGCAGAGGCCATCAAAGGCAGTGGGAGAGCAGGACATGTCAGTGAGGTCCTTGAAACTGGACTTATTTCTTGTTTTGTTCCTAGTGACCAAGGTCTGGCGCACTGTCTGCTGAGTGAAAGGTTGTGGAGTTAGAAAGGGTGACACAGGACTCAGCATTGTCTGCCTGCCTGTGAGCTGGGAGCCAGATGCTCCCACCATGGGTGCAATATGGCCCCCACTGGGGCCCTGCAGGGGGCATGCTTTGCAAGCAGAGTGACAAGAAGCTGCCTATTAGGCCTGGCAGGAGGCCAGCAAGAGGGAGACAAGCTGGAGGGAGATAAGCTTGGGGGAGAGAAGAGCTCTTCTGGCTCACAGGCCTGTTTCTCACAGCCAGCTCCTCCTGTCGCCTGCCTGCCTGCCTGCCTGCCTGCCATTGCCCACCTCAGATGGGATTCCCTGCCTTCTGCCTCACTCCCTGAGCTTCTTTGCCCTGCAGTGCCTGCTGCTGCACCCACAATAACAGGCATAACTCAGTGATGGAGTAGACTAGAGCAGAATATAAAGAAGCCGGACTTTGTCAAGGGTAGAAGCAGCCTTAATGTCAAGTCAACATGCAACAGACAGATGAGCCTGTAAAGGGAGGTGGGGAGGTAGAGAAGGGTAAAGGACAAAACTGAGAACTTACTCTATCTCAAGGAGTGGACACAACCCCACAAAGTAGATTTGTTGTATCTGTTTTATAGTGAAGAAAACTGAGCCTTGGTTTTCTAAATTGGTTAAACAGGTAGCCTGGAAATAAGTACCAGTAATAGGGTAGAGATGCCTGCCTGCCTCCAGTACTCCTCTTTCCACTCTAGCATGTCCTGTGGCCCGAAGTAGGAAAGGGTAGTGATTCAGAAGAGCCCAGGCACTGGGGTCAGAGAGCCTAGATTCATTCTGCCTCCGCTTATGGGCTGTGGGGCCTTGTGTAATTGCCTTATCCTCTCTGTGTCTTGTTCACTTCATCCAGGAAAACGTATTATTGACCTCATGTGGTTGTTATGTAAAGTGCTAAGAACAATGTCTGGCACAAAGTACAGCTTCAGTAAATATTAGCTGTTATCATCATTATGTTTATCATCATTGTTACATGTTGAGAACTCAAGAAAGGAAGTTTTGTAATTGACTGCAGGAAGGCCTGTGGCTTAGGGTGAGAATCATAGGCACTAGAGAGGAGGTGCCTTCCCTGACTTGGATGACAGGAGCTGGGCAAGATTTCAGCATAGCTACAGGATGGATCTATAAACGGGAGCCTCTGGACATAGTCAAGACCCCCACAGCATTGGAAAAATGCTGTTCACATTTGCTCCCGGCCCAGATTCTGTTGTCCACTCTCCCAGGCAGGGATCCAGGCCCTGCGTGTTCCAGCCGAGGCAAGCCCACCGCAGCCACAGTTGTTTCCTCCTTGTACGCTGCTACTCCAGTTACTTCCAGGTTTCTTTCCCTTCATTTGTGGTTTGATTTAGTTCTTTCTTTGACTTCCAAAATAAGTTTGTCTGACATGTTTGGTGTTTTCCACTCAGTGCCCCTGTGGCTAGGCAGGATGGTTAGGTGGTGTGAGTTAGTGCTCTGCCCGCAGGAAGAACTGCTAGAGCTGGCGTGGAGATACAGGTGACGGTCGAGAGCTGAGGCCACTCTCTACCTGTGTGGCTCTTACAGTGGCTCTGCCTCACTGAGCCAGCAGATTCCTTCCCTGTGAAATGATGCCGGGATATCCTCATGGCATAGATATGTCCAGTTCGTTTTCCAAGTCTGCCACGCTCCCTGGTGCTTGCTCACCTGGCTGGTTTATTGGTCTATTTGTCTGCTTCCTTCCTTCCTTTCTTCCTTTCTACCCAGGATTTCCCTGCCCATCTAACATTTTCTGGCTGGTCCTATTTGTGGGTGCCAACTGAGGTCAGCATAGGTGAGCAGAGGGAACATGGCCATCACTTTCTCAGAAGATCCTTGCTCCCGGAGGCAGGATCTTCACATCCAGCGGTCTTCAGGCCCCTTACCTCCACATCTGGCTGAATTGGCTCAAGCTGTTTTGTTTCCCCCAGGAACAGTTTATTCTGGTACAAATGACCAGTTTGCTCGTTCCTTTCCTGATGTGCAGTTGTTCAGCCTTCCCTTCCTGCAGTAGAGGAAGAGCTGACTGTGTTGCCTCTCTTCCTACTCTGCAGACCCTTGGAAGGACTTTATTGGTGGCCTTTTCCTGGAGCAGGTGGCTTGCTAGACAGGCAGTTTTAAAGATTGGATATTGCGAGGAAAGTGTGGTACCGCCTGCTCTGCCAAGCAAAGGCAGTTGCTTTGAAGTTATACTCTACTCATTGATTTATTTTCTGATGATTTCCAATTGTTGAACATCTGTATGTTCGGTATACATATGGCAGAACATCTGACCTTGGCCTGAATCTCATCAAGGAGAGCCATGTGAGCTCTCATAGAAAAATTTAATAGAGATACATAACTCTTTTAGAGGGAAGGCACAGGCTATTTCTCACCCCAGGACTTTGAAGCATGCATTGAGGCAGGTTTAGACTTGTCTTTTCCTCTGTACAGTGTGGTAGGCAGAAGAGAAATGCTTTATATTCTCCCATTTGATCCTCACAGAAAATCAATGGGTTACTACTATTGTTAACCCCATTTTCTAGATAAGGGAAGATGAAACGTAAGATGAACAATGTGCCACACCCAAGTCATACATTTGGGAGGAACCTGTGTGTCAGATTTTTAGTTTGAGTCTCTAACTTCAAAACATGTGGGTGGCTAACTTGTGTTGCTTGTCTACAGATGGTTGACAGTTTGGCTCTGGCTGTTTGTAAGTCCATTAGGTAAGAATGTTCATCTCTTCGTTTTAATATTTAGTTCCCTACCAAGGCATATTGGTGCACACCTGTAATCCCAGCACTTGGTAGGCTGA